TTGAGGCTTCCTCGGGTCAGTAAAGATCAACATTTCCTCTATTTAGAGAGAAAATAATGTATATCACAGAAAACAGCAAACTAGGCATACTGAGGAAAAAAAAAGTTTCCTGTGCTGTCTGCTGGTTTTGCTGAAGTTGCTGGGGCAGGTGAAGTTGTTTCTACCAATCGCTTTTTTTATTTGAATTGTTCTACAAAGTAAAAGTCTTGGATCCTGCAAAGACATCTGTATGTACTTAACCTTTGGTTAGTGATTCCACACACTTCAGTTAAGTTATATTCTGATAAATATCCCAAAGGCACTTTCCATTTAATGAAGATTATGTATTGGCTTAAAATCTGTCCTGAAAAATGGTTGTGGGTTTTTTTTTTCCAGAAATGTCCTTGTGTAGGAGATGGGACTTTGAAAAGTCCAGAAAAGTGAATAACAAGAAACCAAATAACAGTGTCTGAAACTACATGTACTGTGAGCTGTACAGATTGAGGCTGTGCTCAAAAATTGCCCTTAGGAACTGGGAGACAAGTGAGAGCTGCAGCAGCAAAGCTGGTGCTCAAGTAAGAGAACCACAGATGTGACTGCATCTTAAAGGCAAGAGAGCTCAAGGGGCAGATCCCTAACCTTAATGGTTAAATTCATATATCAGATATATCAAAACTTGATTTTGCTTAAAAAAAAAAAAAAAAAAAAAAAAGCTTGCGTTCTGTTATCTGCACCATGAACTCCCCTTTGGTGATGCTGCTCTGTAGATGTCCACATCAGGAGAAGTCCTAACACTTCATGAACTTAGAAGATAATTTCTAGTGTAACACAGCACATTGCTACCCCAGAGAGGTGTCCCGTTTTGCTTTGTGGCCGCCACATGATATCTCATTTTCTGGCCAGTCATTTTTTTTTTTTGCAAGCTAGGGATTCACCATAACCAAAGAATTTTACAGTCCTTAATCACTAACTCCTAGTCTAACAAGGTAATTTTTGTCTTGTGTTATTGCTGGGCAAGCCTGAGAGCAAATAGATGGGTAGAGGGGAGCAGGGCTCACCTCACCTAGTATTATTTCTGTTTTATTCTGTTTTCCTGGCTATTACATAGAACATTGCCAAGGCTCAACATGACAGGTAGGGGTTTCTTCTTGGAGCTCAGCTCTGTGTGACCAGGTCCGCGGTTCCTGTCCGCCTCCCTGCTTCGAGGGAAGCCGTCTCGCCTGGGTACCAGCCAAGTCCTCTGCCCACAGCGTTGCTCCTAATTTCCCTGGTGCTGTTGCAAGCCTTGTGTGAAATCTATAAACACGGGTAGCGCCGTCCAGGTTAGTAATTGTGTAGTCAAGGACAAAAGACCTTTACGCTAATCAAAGAGCTATTGAAAATCTCCGTTGGCAATTTTTCCTTCCACCCCACTCGCTCCAAATGCCTGGCAAGGGCGTTTGTGTCGGGAGGGAGGGTTTTCCTCCTTTCCCTGTTGCATTGAATGATCTCTGTGTCAAGGAGAAGGGGTTGCACAGCACTGGTCCCTGTGTCCGTGCCTCAGGTCCTGGGTTGGGGTAAGGGTTGTCCTGAGGAAGATGAGAGGTTAGTCCTCCCTCCTGCACAGCTTCCTAGGGGACTCGCTCAGCTTCTCTCTGGTACAGCTGATGGCAGCGACTCTTCGTTCTAGTCCACACATTAGGACATCGTAACATCCCACAGTTTAATTTTTTGACACTTCTGTGGTATCTGCATAGCTTTAATTTGGATTAACAAAGTCCCAGGGGGCACTTCACGCCCCAGTCTCACAGATCACACTGCAAAAGCCACAGAGCAGCATCTTTCGGATGTGACTCTTAGAATCACTTGCTAAAAATGACACGTGCTGGTGGCTTAGGGTCCCTTGCAGCTCTCTCCCGTAGCTCAGAGACAATATCCTCTTGGTGTTTGATCACCAGCTTGTTGGGTGGTGGTGGCACCGGCAGTGAAATGCAGAGAATATTTTTTCATTACAGCACTGCGTGCGTCACGTAACGAGGTTAGAGATGCACACATAGCACTTGCTGCCAGCTTGGAAACTGCCTTGGGGTGCTGGCTGTCAGTGCAGTGGGTGTTTAGATAGCCTTGCTGCAGTGAATACTGGGGGCTTCTCCTGTTCAGGTTGTTTTGATTTTGACTGTATAATCTAATTTATTGGAGAATACCATGTATATATTTGTGTGTATGCACACACCTTTTATACATACACCATCTTTAGACTTTGTTAATGGGACATGAGGCAAACCAAACGTGGTTCCCGTGGGTATTCCTTGGCAGGTTTGCATTTCGGCAGGTCTTGGAGCAGCAGCAGGACTTTGGTAGCTGTTGACCATATACAAGTTGCTGTTAGCTTTGCAAAGGACAAGTAGAAAAAATGCCTCAGAAAGCTTCTTAGACCTGGGTGAAGTAAACGTGAGTATGATGGTGCACAGAAGGCTGTGGTTACCCTATTTCTGGATAGAAAAGAAACCCAGGAGTTACTGGGTTGCTGAAATATTCAGGTTGCCTATTAGAAATCTTTTGAGTTTGTAACAGAGTGTGAGATTACAGTGAATAAAATATTGTAATCTTATTAAAAAATTATAGTGATTGTGGAAATTTGAAATAAATGGAAATGAGTACTCAGAATAGTGAAACGTCCTGAAGCATTAGCCTGCTTGTTTAAGAAATGCTTGGAAATTAAATATCTAAAGGATGTAAAATAGGACCAAGACGCCCATTTTACAGGTATGATATTTTAGGCTGTTCAGTGAAGGACGTTTCTGGGCACCCTACCACCCTTTCCTGTCAACCTTAGTTAGCAGTGAGAAGCAGGAGCCTTGGTGGAGGTCATCTGTTCGGGTTTAACAGCATAGAAATTCTGCTACTTGCTTTCTGCACCTGCGCTATCTCTGTATAATTGCAGTGCTGATGGTTAGAAATCAGTCTGTTAGAAATCACAGCTTTGGGGGGCCTTACCATGTTCTAATAACAGCAGAATATTCATTGAATTCCCTGGGCCATCGTGAGGCTCTGCCCGCAAAGAGGTTTCCCCACGTTTGGACCTTTCAGTGCCCCTCTCCAGGCACGTACCCCACGTACTCCATGCACCCCAGTGCTTGGAGCTGCTGTTGATTGTTGCTGGGACCCACGTCCAGCCCAGCCCGCCGGGGGCTGTACGAGCCACATGGGCATTAGACGTGTGACAAGTGACGATGCCACCTTTATAAGGGCACCGCGAGGCCACCCTGAGGAGCTCCCCGGTTCCCCATGGAGACGTGACGCGGGATCCTCGGGATCCCTGCCTCTTATGGGACCTCCTGTGGTGGTCACTCCTGTGTCCCACCGCGTGGCTGCCGTGGGCTGAGGCGCTCCCCTTGCCCGGGTTTCTCCACGTGACAGGGCTGGTGCCTGCGCTTTCCTGGGGCCCTTGCTCTCTGTCTCACGATGGTTTGACCCGCGAGATTTATTTGTCCCCTTTTCTGCAGGCTTTAATTTGATGTCAAAAGCCATTAAGCCCTCACGGTCCCGCAGGTCTGATGCTCGGCGGCGGGCAGCGTTGATTCAGCGCTGGCAGGAGGGTGCGCTGGCTTCCACCAGCAGCGCTTTTCAGAAATAATGCTCTTTGCTGCACGCCGCAGAGCCCCGTGGCCCCTTTCAGAGGCCTTCGTGTTGACTGCAGCAAAGCCCAGCGCGTGACAGAGGGAGCCGTGTTTATGCCAAACAGCCTCCCACGCCTTTCCAAACCTTTTAGCAGGGTTTGCGCTGAAATTCCCACTGAAAAGCCCGAGCGGTTCAGAGCTCCACTTGATCCTTTTGGTAAAGACGTCCGCTTTTTGTCCGGAAAGGGCAACGTTCAAGCCCCATGTCTGGGGGTGGCTTATGCACCGTCGTGCTCTTTGGTATGTGAGGACATCTGGGAGCATCCCATGTCCTGAAAGGGAATCAAACCCGGCCTGTGGCGTACAATAATTTAGTCATTTTAATCATCATCCAGGACTCCATGAATTATCACCTGTACTGTGTGTTGCTGTGATCTCCTTGATATTCAACACTGGCTTTTTTACAATTACCATATATATTATATAGAGCTAATATATTAAGAGATGCCTTAAGGGTAATTATCAAGTATGTAATTTCATCCGCAGGTCCTTATAATGACGGTTAATGCCATAAATGCTTTTTAATGAAATTATAGGCTTGTAACCCTGCCTGACTATCCTTTATATGTTATATAATTAGTGAGACCGAGATTCAGCATTCATCCCTGTGTCACAGAGCGTCATGTAAACTTCCACACGGATGGGAGAGGGTTAGTCTCTCATCAGAGTACGAACAGATTAAGGCCAGGCAGCTCAGGTGTATGTTAAGCTTATCTTTAAAGGCAGCTGCATGGACTTGTTAAGAAAGGGACTTTCAACAGTGTGTTCATGCTCATAAATGACAGTGGCCAGTGATCTAATATATAATTATAATATTACATGCAAAATTTTAAGGGAGTGAAAAGGCAAGTGGATTGCAGCCTGTGGAACACAGAATTGGTTTTCCTCCTACTTCACTAAGGGTGAAGTACTGAAGATTTGTGTCTAACTTCAACGTGTGGAGATGGCAAAGAAGCATCATCGAGTTCAGCTTGCTGGCCTGAAACTGCGTTTCTGTGGGGCTCTGGCTAAGTATCTTAATATGTCTAGGCTGCAGATCCCCTACCTGAAAAAACAGTAGACAAAGACATTTCTATATTTTAAATTTGCTTTAGCAAGGAGGATATCTGTGTCTGTTATTTTCTTATTTTGACATCTGCCAAAGAATCAGATTCCTAGAGTCTCACTCAGCCTGGAAGGAACCTCAGAGGTCATCTAATCCCACCTCCTGCTCAGAGCAAGGTGATGCTGAAGTTCAGGCCTCTGGGCTCTTTTATTACTGTGGGTAATAATATGAGGAATTTTACAAGATAGCGATGACAAGTAGTTCTAAAAATTCATGTATGACTCATTGGGGTTATTTTATTGTTCTTTGCCCTTCAGGGAATGATGTACCTGGAAGAGAGGAGACTTGTTCACCGGGACTTGGCAGCCCGCAATGTCCTGGTGAAATCCCCAAACCACGTAAAGATCACTGACTTCGGCCTGGCCAGGCTTTTGGAAGGAGATGAGAAGGAATACAATGCTGATGGAGGCAAGGTGAGTACCACACATCTCTGGAGGTAAATCTATCCCATTTTTATGAATCTCCTGAAGCTTTAGGGCAGTGTCCCAAAGGGACTATGTGTAAGGAAGTATGTTCAGTGACACAGCAAAGCCCTCTTTTCTAGCAGTGGACTGTGCTGAGATACCAGGCATAAAAGGTGTTTTGTTCTGCTCAGTGAGTTTCTACAGGTCCATCAATAACATCTTCTGAGCAGCTTTCACGCTCAGAGTCAGGTTTTGCTCTCATGCTCCATTTTGTGTCTTGTCCTGAAGACTCGTGACGTCAGTGCAGTGAGTGATGGCTGTTCTAGTGCACTGCTCAGGGGCCAACCAGTGTAGACTTCAGTGGTTTACAGGCCCATTTTCTCAGACAGGCCTCTTTTTCAAGAGGCAGAGGACTGCAAGCACATGAAATAGTTTACCTAAGCTCTGCAACGAGGCGCTTCTTGTGTGGCAGTGAAAGGGCCTGCGTGCACTGTATCCTGCTTCCGAGTCTCCAGGGCCATTTGGAATGCCGGCCTACACAAAGGAGGGCTTCAGGATCGTTCTGAAGCCAGACATTTTCTCATACCACCTCTCAGCATACCTGGGAACTTCCACACACGTTATAATGTCTTCCGATTGATGCGTGACAAAATCCACAAGGCCATAAATATGTATTTCTGCTCCCTTAACAGCTCCAAATTTTACATTTCAGCCTGTCCTGAGTCACAAAATCCCAAGGGGCTCTGCCTCTCTCGTCATTCCTTTTCCCAAATGTTCCGTTCGCTTTCCATCTCCTTGCTACCTGTGTTTCCTTTCTGCTTGCTTACACACATGTCTGGGAAAAGCAGCTGTTGCCAGGCTGTGCTTTTCCCCAGGACGGGCTGCTGCCTCGTTTGTGGCACTGCTGCCCTTGGCAGCTGTTGTGTGGATCACAGCAGCATCGCAGTGGATGAGGCAAAGAGCTGGAACAGAGTCACCAGTGCTCTCCCGTTTGCCCCTCCTGGCGGGAAGCGGGGAGGCTTGGCAGGCTGCCCTGATTCCTTTGGTTTTCTAATTCCCTCCTCAGCACCTCGTCTGCCTCTTCTCTGTCTCTTCCCTCCATGAGCCAGTGAATGACAGAAAACGAGCTGCTCCTTGCAAGCCAGCTGTTCCCCAGCAGCTGTTAGGTGGCATCTCGGGTTTGTGTGGCCACACTCGTGGGTGTTTGGAGAACCACTTGCACATTGAAGATGTCACTTCCCTGTTCCAGAGAAGTGTCCTGTTGAAGCCAGGAGGCATTTGCAGTTTGAAGTTGTAATGGGAGCACGCTGCGAGAGGTTCAGCCTGGCTCAAAGAAGAAACCTTCTCACCATGAGGACAGTCGAGCAGTAGCGTGCATTGCCCAGAGAGGCTGTGCAGTCTCCCATCCTTGGAGGTTTTCAAGACCAAGCTGGGTGAAGCCCTGAGTAACTTGGTCTGATCTCGTCACTGACTCAGCTTTGACCCAGAGGTCTCACAAGAGACGTCCTGCAGCCCCTTCCTGATTTACGCTATGATGACTGATAGCGCTTTCCAGATCCTTTCGAGTTCCAGCTTGGAACATTCCTATTAAATTTGATGGGAATGAAAGCTGCGGAGAGCATAGTGGAGGAGGATGAACCATCTTCGCAAGTGCTAAGCCACCCTTTAACATAGAGTGCTATTTTTGCTATAGCTCTGCACAGGTTATGTTTATGAGTCAACTACATGGAAGGTATTTTCATGAGGGTTTGAACGAAGACGCATCCTCTGCTTTTACGCCCACCATCTGCTCAGATATTGCAGTAATGTCTCTCTTCAGCTCAAGGTTTCCTCCACTGCTAGTTCCATAGTTCCAAGTTAGGCAGGACCTGCACAAGGCCACGCTGGAGAACGTTTGGTTGCATGTGTGTCCATCAGAAATCAATGGACTGCAAGGCTGTGCTTCAGGAGCCCTGCTCAGGAGAGGGAAACACCTGGAATTTCTTCCAGTGCCTGGTTTTGCAGGCTCTCAAGCAAAAAGACCTCCTGAGCTCCAGATTCAGGGAGGTTGGATATAACTTTTGTATATGTCCCATGCTTACACTGGAGAAACTAGTTGGTGGACTTGGGAAACCAACTCCTGGCATGGCAAAAACAAAGTGAAGTGTTTGTTAAATCTGAATCACAGCTATCTGAGTGGTATGAGAAGTTATACACGCAATTAATTTAGATTTCTCACCTCGGTATGTTTGGATATGCAAGCCTATCTAATTCTGCTCAGCTGTAGAAGGCAGCAATAGCCATCTCCCGTGCTGTGGTCTCCCTGCTCTTCAGTAAGTTTGCAGCTGAGAAGGGAAACGCGGAGGAAGCTGATGCCTGCATTTAAGTAGGGTGTAGTCATATTATTTTAATATTCTATTTCTAAGCTGCGCTTTCTCTCTCTCCTTTCCCTAGATGCCAATTAAGTGGATGGCTCTGGAGTGCATACACTACAGGAAATTTACCCATCAGAGTGATGTTTGGAGCTACGGTAAATCTTGATGTGATTCGTTTGAAAATTGGACTCGTGTAATGCATTAAACCAAGTTCTGCTATTTTACACATTTCCTTTTTTTTTTTTTTTTTTTTTTTTTCCTACAGGAGTTAATTCCAGTGGTACTTGCTCTTTTTTTGAGTGTGTGACACTAAACAGCAATTGTTACTTGTCTCCTGTGCTACCTTGCTGCTCAGTAAAATACATTATCACAGTGTCCCTGCTGGGATGACTGCTGTGGGGGCTGGTTTGGTAGCAGTTTGGCTGATTATTATGACGGAAAAAGGCCCCTTTCAGCTTAGCCACAGACTCGTAAAAATCTGGCCGCAGGTCATAATTTTCAGCAGTCCTTTGAAAATCTTAACTCTAAAAGCCATGAATGTCAAAAAACATTTTCAGGCTTATGGGACTTCTGGTACCTAAAGTCAGATAAAAGGGAATTTGTCATAACACAGAGTGAATGCAGCGAGAGAAGGAGAGAAGGGAGGAGGGGAAAGATGAGCCCAGGCTACCTAAAACATGCATTAATTTGTTTAATTTGGCAGATAACTTAGGAACTGGTTAGACAGGTCTGTTGAGGAGGACTCCGCACATAAAAAAATCACATCTGATAAATGAGGTGTTTATTTAATGTTCTTAATTCAGTTACCCAGACGAGCTGCTGTGCCACATCTGTTGAGCTGTCTGCGTGTTTATCTAGTAAGGCTACTCCTAATAAAACCATGCTTACCTTTGTGAGGGGAATTTCCTGGCAGTAGCTGGGGTTGCAGATCTCCATTTGCATTTCCTGTATCCTGTAATTTTGAAACAAAAAGGTGGAAAAATCTATTCACTACTCACTTTTACCTGTGGGTAGCAGCAAAAGATGCTGTTTGCGTTGGCTGAGTACCCATCCTCTTCTATCTAGCTAAGAAAAACACATGATACTTAAATTGATCATATAAACCTGCTCTTTAACTCAAATTCTGCATCACTGCACTTAGGAAGAAAATACGCTTTCATTTATGAAACTCATTTTAAAGCAGTAAGCCCAGAATATCTGTAATCTTGAAGAGCAAAACCAGGGAAGATTGACAAGTTATAGTTACTGAACATCAGCCAGGAGGTGAATGAGAGTGAACTAAACGTGTGTTTTATGCATACGGTATTTTTACCTGTCACTTTGCAGATTAGCGTGACAGTTGGCATAACATAGTTAGTGATCTGGAGGCATGTTTTAAATGACCTTTGCAATAAAAATAAAAGCGAAGGAAAACAAGCTGTTGCAAAAGCAGCATTTTCTATACTTAGGATTATGTTTGAGGACATATTCTGTTATTAACAGTATATGCTCTTTATTTACCTGCTCAAGTGACAAAACAAATTCTATTGGTTTTTCAAGAAGATCATCTTGGTTTTGAAGCACAGCAATATCATAATTCAAATCCATAAGATGATTTAAGGAAGAAAATAATACAAGTGACTGTGTGAATGACTTGCAAAGCAAAGATAATGACATAACATTAGTCAGTGTGGTGCCTTTGTGGGAAATTGATGCTCCAAGTTAGGGAACATCTGCGTTTTTTCCCCTTAAAATAATAGAGTACATCAGCCATTCATTTTTCCTTTTGATATGATAAAAGAGCAAGATACATTCCTTGATTATTGCATCCATTTACTTGCTCACCATTTATTTGGCTTAGGCCTGTCTCTTGTGTCTTGGATCTCTCATGTTTGCTCTCAATGCCAATAAAAACAAATAAATTGCATTTAAAGATTAATGCAAAGCACTATTTAACCACTTTCCATAGCTCTTTATATGACAAACCAAACTTAAGTCTTTTTAAAGGCAATGAAAGGAGATGGGTGATCGTATTTTGGTCCAGAGTTGAGCCACAACATGGATTTGTAAGAAATTGCAAAGGAATCTGAAAAATATCTAAGAAAAAAACCGCTAAATATCTAAAAAAAAAATCTTTTTTTTTTCTTTTTTGTTTATCTAGGGGTCACCATCTGGGAACTGATGACTTTTGGTGGAAAGCCATACGACGGAATCCCGACTCGCGAGATTCCCGACCTCTTGGAGAAGGGCGAGCGGTTGCCCCAGCCTCCGATCTGCACCATTGATGTTTATATGGTGATGGTGAAATGTAAGTGATTGTAGCTCTTAATATCCCCATACTCAGCAGCAAATGAACATTTACATATTCTATTTTACACCATATACATCCACAGTCTCTGACAGAGCTTGCTAATAATGCACGCTGTTTCAAAACTAAAGCTTCCAAAGATGCTGTAAATTACATTTAAACACTGCATGCACATTTTTTTTTTCCAGTTGCAAAAGATACGAATTTAGCCATGAAGGGCTGAGTTAGCTCAACTTCTTATTACTGTCAGGTGGTATCTCACATTCTTGCTGTGAAGTCAAAATTGTGTGATTGTTATTGTACACCCTTGTCATTTCCATGACAATTGATTCTGATGTTAAAAAAGATGGTTTTAAATGTAATTATGGTCCATGGATAGTCAGCCAGTGAAGGCTGTGAGGAGAAATGCCGCTCCAAATATTGAGGAAAGAAAGCATAATGTTTTATTGTTAATAACAGCATCGAAAATTGCAATAGTAATAACAAAAAGCAACCTTACCTTACTATAAGAAACCCTGTGGACAGGAGGATTTCTGTTTTTTTGTCATTCTTAGTCCAGTGCAATAATTTATGAATATTTTTACTTAAGTTTGCTCATGTTTTTTTCCCACACTTTTATCTCTAAGGTACCCACACTAGTGACTGTATCCTCCTAGGCTAGACTTCTAATTTAAAAAGAATTAGGAATATCTCTCTGGTGTTTCTGACTTAATTTAAGTGAGATTAACATACAGCCATCTGAGAGAGGCCTTTCCCTTTTGCTTTGTACACAAAAATACTGGGAGAGAGAAGATAAAACTGGAGGAGGTAAATACATATCTCTTGAATAAAATTCTGCTCCAAGTTGCCTTTAGTTCCTGAAGCCCGTAGTGTGAACCCAGGTGTCCAACTCAGGACTTTGGCTTTAGAATATGTGTGTTTTCATTTTTCCTTCTAACCCAGTCCTCTGTTGGCATCTTGAGGACTTCACTGCTTAGTGGTGGTGCAAAGTTTGAGCAGCACAGGTAGAATATTAGGTTGCTGAGTTTTCAGTGCATGTAGAAATCTGAGGCAGTAGAGAATGGGCAGTACCCTAAAGGCAGTCGTGCTCAGGTTAGTTCAGAGATTAGGGAATATTCTGGCTCTGTCAGGCACTTAGGCCCAGTACTATGGAGGGATTTTCAATATGGCCTAAGGTACTTTGGGGTGCATATTTCAAAACAGGATTTAAATCCCCAAATCTGCTACCTGCAGCCCCCCTGGAATTACTACCAACAATTGAGGTAGGGATATATTGAAGGATTTGGTTTTCAGGATCAGTTCTCTGTTATTCTTACATGTCAATACCAAGACAACTGACATTGTCTCAAATGTTACCCTGAAAAAAATCATCAGTCCTGTGCCAAGTGTGGGAAGTTCTTTACAAGCTCTAGTGGCTTTATTCCTTCTGTATTAGCTATTTCTTCAGTAAAACAGGATGGAGGAGATAAGGCCAGCTTCATTTAGCCCCCCTGGCAAACGAGAGTGTGTGTTTGGGAAGCAGCTGATAGAATCTTCCATTAGAGGAGGCTGACACCGAGATAAACTAGCTGCTTGTGGTGAGCGCCCGCACTGCTTGCTTGTTTTGCAGAAAACATTCAAAGGGATTGAGGACTGTTGTTCCTAATGAACATTTCTGGGAGAATGAAGAACTCAAGAAGCATCCTGGCGTAATTGCAAATAGTATCTAGTGGCTGTGGGCTGTGTTAAAGACATGTGAATGCAGCATTGCCCGCAAACCAGCATGGCAGGTCAGCAGTCCTGCAGGTCTTTTCAACAGCTCTTTGTCATCTGAGCCACAGTGGACTAGCAGATGAGTTAAAAGCTGTATATACCAGTAACTCAGTAGTGAGCTGGTACCTGAATGAGTAAGCAAGACACAGAACCGTTGCAGGCATTGTTACTGTCACTGTCTTGGGGATGGGGAGCAGGAGCTCAGAGCAGATTAAGAAGAAGCACTTGCCATGAGCAGCACCCAGTCTCCTCTGATCAAGACCACATGTTTTCCATGGCGGATGCACCCGTTTTCCTGGGCTCTTTATTTCAGCTTTTCTCTAGGTCAGAGCTATCAGTAACATCTTTTCTCCTCCAACTTGTGCATTTTTACAAATTGCAGGCTTTCCCTCCCTGACAATTAAGTGTTTCCTTTCTTGTCTTTGATCTGTCCCCAGGCTGGATGATTGATGCCGACAGTCGGCCTAAGTTCAAGGAGCTGGCAGCTGAATTTTCTAGAATGGCACGAGACCCCCAAAGATACCTGGTTATTCAGGTAAGCAACATTGGGAAATATGAAATCTGTTCAGCCTGTATATGAGCACATTACCTGGCCTTGCTTTGCAGGCTGCTGAGTGTTTGCATCCTCCACTGACACGAGGGATGATGTCTGTCCATCAGTGAACTTACTTTAGACCAAGGCCTTTCTTGGTCTGTCATTGCTTGGGCTAATCAACAGGGACTCTCCTGAAGAAACTCTTCCCTGTGCTGCCAAAGTCATAACAAAGGATTTTGCGTAATCAAACCATGGAAGTTTCTCAGAAGACAGGGAGTCAAGTGACACTGGTGCTTCCCTACTGCTAGAGAGGAGCTTCATCCTATATTCTCCTTCTATGTATAGGCTCTGCACAGCCAGCAGTGCTTCACACTTTTTGCAGTAGATACTCACAGCATTCCGGGGACACCCTGGGAATACTAGCAGAGCAGTAGCTGTGGTTTACCTCCAGCTAAAGGTGTATATACGCTGAGCACAGGTGTCCCTGGAGATCTTTTTCTTTAGCTCTTACATTCCACAGTAGCCTGGAGTTGTTTATGTAGATACAGAGAGTTTCATTGTTAATATTTTGCTGCTGATTAACAACCACCCAAAAAAGTAAGAGTTTAGAGTTTTGGCATTCTTTCTCAAAATATGGCTTCTGTCAGATTCCCTGCCACTGATTAAAAAAAAGAATCAGGAGAATTTTTTCACTTTAGCCCTTTCCCTTCACCCCAAAAGTTTTCATTCAGAGAATATAGTATCATAATGCTTGATTCCTTTGGGAAAGATAAGTCATGCTTTTAAGCCCCAGAGCTGTGACTGAAACTCAAGCCACAAAAATTGGATCCATCTTTTGCTAAGGTCCTTAGGTGGTGCAGATATGTGAGCCCTGCAAGTGGAAATGGAAGAAAACTAAACTAAGTCAGGGGATGTTGAAACACCAGAGACCAAAGCATGGTACTAGTTTGAGACTGATGCTGTTTTGCTCCATCTGCCCCACGTTGTGGAGTACAAGGCAGAGAGGGACCCAGCTGCTCCTTAGCTTCACATTGGTAGAAGACTTCCTAGCTGAAGCACCTCCGAGTACAGTTGCTGCTGATTGTGTGTGTCCTGACTGCTTCTAGTACTTGCACTGAATACATGCTATAAATATATATATATGCATGTATGTGTGTGTGTGTGTATATATTTATATGTATTTTCAGCGTATATATGTATATTCGGTACATGGCCTAACAGTTCTTGGCATTTATAATGCTCTATATCCATCTTTGGGATGCCATTCTTTCCCCATCCAGTTATTTTAGCATTATTTCTGCAGGCTGTTAGGTGTTCGAGGCATTGGCTGCCTTCTCTTATGTTTTCTGGTACTGAGCAAAGCACAGGCCTGACTTGCACTGCCACCTTGTAGGTGCTTTTTAAATAAAAATATTAATCCTTGTTGTTGTTTATTGTTATCTGGTTTGATTTGTATTGCTTTCAGCACTCCTGTGTTCTGCAGAGCCTTCCATATGGATGAGAGAGAGAAATTTAGCCCCCGAGCCCCTAAAAACACAAATGAAAACAGAGCAAATTCCCAGGCCCAGCAACTTCCATATTGTTTTCCCCCTCTGCAAGCCTAAATAGCTGAGATATTTCATAAAATACATCACGCCATGACAGAACTGGGGTCAGAAACTAAGCATGTGTGGGAAAAAGGGAGAAGAAAGAATAAAAGCTCAATCACAGGAATGCCAAAAAATGACTTTGCTTGATTTATTCAGTTATTCCCTTTCTGTCATCATATTCCTAGCAAAAAAAAGAAAAAAAAGGAAGCTAAACAAATGATGTGAATGTGATGCCTTAGAACAATCAAAGCAGCATGTGAGGTCCCCACAGCCTGCCTGCCACGACACGAAGAAGCCTGAAGTTCCCAGTTGGGAAATTAATCCATCTTTTTGCTGTTTCCTTCTCTCCAAATAACCTACTTAGGGAGACGATCGTATGAAGCTCCCAAGTCCAAACGACAGCAAGTTCTTCCAAAACCTTCTTGATGAAGAAGACCTGGAAGATATGATGGATGCTGAAGAGTATCTTGTTCCTCAAGCCTTCAACATTCCTCCTCCCATCTACACTTCTAGGACAAGAATTGATTCCAACAGGGTAAGAGCGAGTTCTGATAGAAAATGCCGGTTATTACAAAAGCACAGATAGCAATTTACCTACACTGATCCAACACAGGCCCGAGCTGCCTTGGTCTGTACAAGCTGCTGTTGTAAGGAGCCTGCCGATGGAGCTGAGGTCACTGGATTCCCTGTTTGTTGTGTTTTAATGAATTACTTGGTTCATGGCTCGGCCTTGGGCGAGCAGAGGCTTGACTTGACCTGCCTCTCCTGATTGCACAGCTGGTGCTCGTCAGGTCAGGCAGGTTGCTCTCCATCATGCGCCGTCGTGGCCAGAGAGCACCCAGCTCTGATTCTCCTGCCCCTGCAATCCAGTTATCTGGGCAGGGCTGGCACTGATGCAGCTGAGGCAGCTGGAATATATAGATAATGCTGCTTTTGTGCCTCAAGCCAGATTTCAGAGCCTTTACCCACTTGCATGCAGTGCTTTCATGGCCTTCCTTCACAAGCATGTGTTTTGGTTGAGCACATCACGGTTTTTAGCATGTTTATCTTGACACCACCCCTGTCACGGAAGAAAATGGCATTCATTTTACAGGAGAAACTGGTGCACAGAGAGGATTTATGTGGAATTCAGCTCATGTAACCCTGACCAGCCAAATGAGAAGGACGTAGTCTAAGCTCGTGGTTTTGTCCTCCTGGCAGAGTATTGGCCACCCTTCCTGCAAAAGGGAGACCTGGTGAAATGGCATTATGTGGGTGAGCAGGTGCAAACAGGTGCCATGTGTTATTATCATTCAGGGACATCGAGTTTAGGTTTGTTTGTTTCTTCTTCCATACATTATTTTGAGTAGAAAGTCATGTTGTAAAGACTAAGCACAGTCCCATGCAGATTTTCGTGTTTATTCCTGTTGGTTTGGAAATCTTTGGGACACTTAATAAATAGTTCCAAGTTCACACCCTGGCCTGAACTGAGTAGACCGTGAGGGGCAGGGATGAGGTAAGTGAAGAGCTAGTGAGCTGAAATCCTGCTCACAGTTCTTCTGTAGTGCCCATAGCTCATAAATAATCCAGATAAATAATAGCCTGAAGCTTGAATCCATGGGTTCCTCTGAATTTCAGCCTCCTTTTTCAGGGAAGGCAAACACAGTGAAGTGAGGAGTCCTGTGCAAGGGAATCCTGACAGGATCAGTGTCCTTTGATGCCGGAATTAGAAACCTTTGGAGAAGGTTTGTGGTCCTCCTAGCTGAGTGTAATTCATGTAGCCTTATTCCTGCATCACTGGAAACCTGTGCAATGGTGAATTAGGATGTAGCCTTTTCCTTCTCGCTTCCAGTGCTCTGCATTCCCCAGCCTTCAAGGCAGGAATGATGCATTATTTAGCAACAAGCTACAAGAGTTAATTTTTAGTGTTGATGCTGAACTGAAATAAGTTAATTTTACTCTTAGCTGCCCCTGGAGAGGTTCTGTTTTCTTTGCTGCCAACTTCTGAGAAAAGAAGGCAGCAGCAAGAGCTACCTTTGAAGCTGCTTGTGTTCACACTGGTGTAAGGCAGTGTAATCCCATGTCACACCGTGGAGGTTGACCGTTTACACAGAAATATGGGGGGAGAGAGCAGAATCAGGCCCCTAAGGTTTGCGAGATTCATCTCGGACCCATAGTTATGTCAGAAACTCTGGGGCAGATTTAAAGGAGAAGGGTTTAATGGGAAAACAGGCCTGCTTTTGCCCCAGCTCCATTTGCCCTCGGTCTTCAGAGACGGCTGAGCAGGGAACTCAGCTGGAGCTCAGGGCATTCATTCCGACACAAATCCCCGAGTAAATATTCTGAAAGAGTTATTTGAAATGTGCTGTTTGGGCGGCCGACACAGTCGCTGGGCTATTCATGGAAAGCAAACAGGAGTGTTTTTTATTCTCAGCCTGTAAAAATGCAAGCAACTTTCCCAAGCCTGAGCCCAACTCCAGCCCCACCACAGCAGCTGCTGGTGCACAGGGAGCGCAAGGAGCCAGACCCCTTGGCTTTGCCCACGGAGGGGCTCCCGGGGGCTCCCCACGCGCCCTCTCCTCGCCACGGCACGCGATTTCCACGGCTGCCTTTCAGCCACTCCTGATGGGAAGGCTCCTCTGCCTAGTCTAGCACTTAAACTAGTCTAAGCTAGCACTTAAATCTGGGATTGCTCCTCGCCAAAAGTTTTCCAGCTCTGTGTGGAGTTTTGTGGTACGTCAGAGAGGGCTGCTGGGCACAGGAGCTTGCACCATGGTGCTTTGAGGCCCAGATTTTTGGACCTCTTCTGTCTTTATGGTGCTTTTCTAATTATTGCAGGAGCCTCTTTGTAGAGGGGTCATTTTTAAGAGCAGCGGAGGAGACGAGAAGTTGCTGATGAACATCTAGCTGACTTGCAATAGCAGCTCTGGGAGTCATTGGAGACTCACTCCTCTCTCATGACAGGATTAGTAACACTTTTAACTTGGAGGCTTGTCCGTTGCCTCAGATTAACTTAAGTTTGTTGTTCTTCTCTTAAGCTAAGCTGAGTTCTTTCATTGCAGCTGCACTCAGTTGCAATTTCAGCCCTTCATTTTTTTTTTCCCCAGCTTTTATGTTCTGTTGTCTAGAATTATTCTAGAAATACAGAGTTTTGGAAGCTCTGTGCTTCCAAGAGATAAGCTGGATCCTCAGCAACATGTCCATGAGCTCAGGAGCTCAGCCAGTGCTCACGTCCTGCATCCAGAGCCATAGGTGATTCATTCAGGTATTTGTAACGAGCACAGCCCCGTGCATGCCAAGATAACACTAATACAGCAAGCACTCTATGTACCCCAGGATGCTTTTCTTGCTCTAAATCCCTGGCTAGTCCACACTGAAAACTGTCTCCACTTATTACTCATTGATGCTGTTCCTGTCATTTTATTCTCTACCCTATGTATTATTGAAACAGCTGCCAACTCTGCAGTTAAATATCAAGCTCAGTTTTTAGGAAAGGGATCTGAAGCAGATGTCTAGGGAGATGGTGCTGATCAGCTAATGCAGGATCTGGTGCCACAGAAGCCAGTTTTGAGTTGCCCACATGGGTTCTGGTGTCCCATCCGGACTGCTCTGGTGCAGGAGGAGACCTGGAAATGCTTCCTGGCTTAATATTTCACTTTATATTGTTTGTCAGCTCTCTGCTTCTGCAATATCTTCCCAAAACTTATACAACTAACTATATGACTCTCCTTAAATTTGATGCTTATTATTGCAGTCTGCAAGTCATTTTTTTTTTATCTTGCTGTCCCATTTCATTAATACCCTCTCTTCCTAATGAAAAGGTGATCAAAAATTATCTGAAAACCTTAGTAGTCATTCTTCTGCCTTCCCGCTAGTCCCCGTTGCTTCCTTCTGCGAGTGCTGCAGTGAAACCTCCCATGCCAGAACAGATGAAGTTGTAAGTTAATTAGACATTGTATCAAAGGGCTTGATAACATTTCAGAAAATTATGCTGACAGCATCTCCCCATTAGCTCCTTTGCTTCTTCAGAAACTGCTTGACTAGTTGGGAACGCTCTAACTTTTTATGAGCCTCTTCTCTGTGCCTTTCATTAAATGATAATATTTTGTGGATCTTCCTAGATGAGTCCTATTTAAGAAAGCAGCAGATAGTGCAACTGCTGCAGTCAGTTCTGGACTTGCTCCAAGTCCCCTTTCAGGGCTTTAAATCCTCTTTTTCTGCTTCCTTAGGTTTTAGTGACATATTGGGGCTGGGAGTCTCCTATCCTCTGTGCTCTGTGTTTTGCATTAAGAAAGTTTGGAGTAGCTGTTAGTGCTTGCTCAGGCTCTAGCCAAAATTGTTCCACCTACTGTAACGCTCTTCTCCTAGGAAATGCTCCATAAGGTGAGTCTGCTTCTAAGCTTTGTGGAGAAGTAGATAGCATAAAGATGCTTTTTGTTCATGAGAAGCAGGAAAGGATCCCAGACTGGTATTTGCTGGGCTAATTTCATTGCTCAGGGCATGTGAAGTAGAGAGAATAAAAAATACACATAAAAAAAATACACTGTAAAATACATTAGATAGAAAAAAAAATCAATTCTAATGATTTACATGAAAAGGAGAGCCTCTCAAAAATACATATATTTAGAGGATGGTATTGAAATACCTTTTTCAAATGTGCTAAGTTTGCCAGAGGAAAAAAGAAGAAAATTCATGTGTAGGGCTCAAACAGAATATATGATTTTGAGCTCTTGACAGAGCAGTCTTTGAAAGTGCTTTATGGCAATTAGTCTCTTGCTTTCTAACGGGGCTGACTGAAATCAGTAGCGTTTCTCAAGCCCTTCTCAGCCTGAATAAGATTATCAGGACCAACTTGCTAAATCACCTCATGTTATTGCTGGTGAAGTGCCTTAAAACAAGAGTTTTTTTAGCATGTTAACTGTTTTCCATCACATTCATGCTCCTGAATCCAGGCATATGGACTTAATGAGCCTTTCTGAAAGCTTTCTCTTTTTTTTTTTTAATAGCATTTTGCTTTGAACGTATCCTTTCTACAGATTTAAGATGTATTTAAAAACAAATCAGCAGGTCACAGGACTCCCTGGTAGGACTTACTACAAGTGCCTCCTGCAAAGAAGAGCCAGCGATGGAAGGGCTGCGTGTTGCATCCCACCTGACATACGACACACACATTTATCCAGCTTTAGTACAAACTGGTTTTAAATCAAGCAGCATCTGTTTAATCCGTGAATAGCTGCTGGCTGTGTTAACAGTCAAGAGAGCTCGCAGCTGATCCACTTTCCTTTCTCTCCCGAAAAGAAAAAAGTCAATAGATATAAAGAAAGTAAGTAATAAATATTTCCACGCTGCACTGATGAGGCATTCTTGGGGAAAAAAAAAAAAAAAGGCAAGCTAAACAACTCTGCATAATTCAGTAGATGGAAGAAATGGCCTAAGAGTCAGGAAATAATTTTGAGAGCAGAGGGGGGGAGGTTTTTCCTTGAGTGACTGGTTGCAAAACAGAAGCTGCTAGCGAGAAAACATCACTTTCCGTGGAACCCATTTTCATGATTTTATTAAAATAAAAAGCCCACCTGAAGATGCAGGGGCTGGGGATTCGGGAAGGCCCCCGGCAGCAGCGCTGGGGCTCTCCAAACATTCCCTTGGAGGGGGCAAAAGCCCCCACGGCCTCATCCACCTCCTCGCCCCTGTTAATCCTGCCCTGCCTCGTGTCACGGGTGGGGGACAGGGGGTGTCGGGAGGGACGAACAAGGTTGTTGGAGCTATAAAAAGACTGTGGTGGGAGGGAGCCCAGCTGAAGTTTAGATTTAGAATGTTAAAAAATGATTATTTTATCCAGATCAGCTGGATGGTTATTTCTTTGAGAGTATTATTGCCAGCAGAAGCCCAGCCCTGCTGAAAATCAACTCAGCATTTCATCAAGAAGCCTATTCTTTGCTAGAAAAGACCAAGAGTGCCCAATTACGGGTTTCTTTTCCCCCTTGCATAATAAAACGGGCAGATTATCATCAAGTTTCTATTCAGATTTGGGGGAAGGCTTTTTTTATTTTATTTTTAAAACCCATCTTTGTCTGTAAGAGCTCCCTGTTCAGGCCAGCGCGCTGTAATGATTACTGCTGTAAAGTCTTCAGTGGAGATGTGCTCTATTTCATTCTCAATGAGGGCTGATGGCATTTGGAGAGGCTCAGAATATCCTCTGATTGCTGCAGAGAGCGGCGCGGGGAGGCTGCCGATGTGGCGCGCGGCGCCCGAGGGGGCTGCGGCTCCCGCTGCTGCTCATCAGCTTCCTTTTGTGCCCTTTTTTTTAATATATATATTTGGTGTGGGTGTGTGGTTGTGTCTGCTGGGGTGCAGTCACAGAGCACAGCCCCGCTCGGCGCTGTGCGAGGGGCAGCCCCTTGGCCGCCTTTCCGAGGGGTGGAAGGGCAGGGTCTGTAGGATGGGGTCTCCAGGGAGGGGTTTTAACCCAGCGCAGCAGGAACCAGGTTTAATCTCAGGCCAGGGGCTGTGGCCGAGCATTTCACCTCCCTTTCTGTGCTGCTGTGTCTAAAGACGGGACGTCTGGGGTCTCCTAAGGGGTTGTTGGCATCACGTGTTGGGGAATCTTTGATTGTCCTGCGTACGCTTAGGGCAGACGGTCTCTGCTCGTGCAGGAGGAGACCCAGAGCTGTGGTGTAAAGGAGGACTGGCTGGAGCCAGGTCACGGGTGACGTGCCTGCACCGACTTGGAGCTAGCAGGAATGGCCTAAGCCCTCCCAAATGCAAGGACGTGGCCGACATGTCCATATGGCGCTTACGAGCCGAGATGACACTCAGGCTGCCTGAAAATATCCCCTTTTCTTGCTGACAGCAGTGGGCTGAAAAAAACTATAAAGAAAAGACCTACTCGTTGTTTCTTTTATTATTTTTTCCCCTCACTGATTTAAAGTGTCTTGTGGCCTGTGCTCTGGTTTTGCAAGGAGCAGTCGTCAGAGACTGGAGCAAGTGCTCTGCCTCTCCCAGGCAGGTGCTCCCGGTCATTTCTACGCACGAGGTGGCTCAGCATTCCAGTTAAAATGTTTACACGTTTTCTGAGAAAGGGTAATGCTGCAAAAAGGCCTGGGAGCTCATAATTTCTAATCGAGATTCATTGATCCCCAAAGCAACTTTACTGCCACTGAGCTGTGGACATTGTAAATTGCTGCAAAACTACTGTCCGCAACCTGTGTATATTATTCCTACCTTTTATTTCTGTTGTTGAATAACAGGCTCCCCTTCCCTCTCACTGCAGAAATTTATGTCCTGCCTTGCCACGTTACCTCTCCTGGGCTGTATTTCTGCTTCTGTGCCTGAAATCGCTGACGTGGGGGCTGCACAGGGGCTCAGCAGTGCCCTGCGCCCATGCCCAGCTTGGCAGAGGCTCCTTCGGGGATGTGGAAGTGCCCAGGAACAGCAGAGCATTCCTAAGGTCCAGGAGGGAAGCAAGGCTGGACCAGGTTTTCCCAGTGCTGCCTGTTTTGAGTGCATTGACAGGTGACATTGCTTTGAGGTGTTGCAGGAGATGAGCCTGGGCCAGGCCTGGGAAGCCGGGGAGCGTTTCTTGTGAACAGAACATTTCTTGTGAACAGGTTTTGCCCCACGCCAAAAGCAGGTGAGCAAGGACACAAAGCAGAGAGCTCGCAGGGTCTCACAGAGGTTCCTTAGGGCCAGAGACAGACAAGCTGGTCAGGGAGTCCTCACCTGCGTGGGGACAAGCGCCCACGTCCCGCAGAGCATCGTGTCACCCGCCTGCAAAGTGTCCCCCCACACGGCCATGGGTGTAGCTTTGGGGGCCCCACAGACACAGGACAAGCTCCAGCACAAAATCCACAGGGACACATGGGGCTCGAGTGAGGGGACACAGCAGAGCCACATTCACCCTGCCACATAAACAGGAGCGGCAGGGCCAGCACGGCTTTGATTTCATTGCTGCCTAATGTGCAGCCAGGAAAGTGTTATGTGCCTGCTTTAAAAAAAAAAAGGCAGATATTTACCTTTGGGAGACTTTGAGAGGCAAGGAATTGGAAAGCGGAATTAATGAATAGCAAGCAATAACACAAGCCAATATTCACAGAGGCGTTATTTACCTCTCTTTTATCAAAGCTCATTTTACACAAGCGTTAGCAGTTACAGTAGCTGATATGTCACTGGTATTTAAATAGCAAAGTCCCTTTAAAGGGGCTTATGGGGACATTTTCTGGGGTTTGGGGTGGGTTGCTGTTGTTTTTTGCTGTTTTTATCTTTCTCCCTGGTGTCGTGTTTATGCATGAAATTCAACCATATAGTAGGAAGAATGAAACCTTGGGCCATTATGGTGTAGGACTGCTCATGGGCAGTTAAAAATGCTAGATGTCTTCTGGATGATGCTTATAATCTGGATATCGATGGATGTGAGCAATGTAAAGCCAACGGATGCAATGTACGTTACAGTTGCAAAGAGAGAGAGCATTGATTCTTCTTTTTTCCCTTTTTTTAGCATGCAACTCAAGGCTTTTAAAAGAGGCTTCTGTAGTGAAGCCTTTGAGCAAGCAGCTCAGATGCTGCAGAAGCGAAGCTGCTGTTCTCATCACAAAGTGAAGCAACAAACAAACTTGGATCGCACACACAAATTGAGCCATTTTTTATTTGTCGGGGTCTAAATGCATTCTGTGCCCACACTGTGCTTCATTTACAGACCAGTAAAAGTTGGCTGGGGCTGACAGCGCTAAAACTTCCCTGGGAGCTGCCCAGCGATGACATCATGTTGCAATTAGCAGGCAAATTAAAGGCATTCAAACAATTGCATCCCATTTTCAGCCCCACTGGCTGGCCCCACAGCTGTTTTCTTCACCACCTTTTTTGGAGCAGAGACTGCAGAGCTCCAGCTCCTAGGGAAAAAAAAAGCAGAGGAACAAAAAACTCTGCAGACAGAAGTGTTTGGAGAAGAGGCGAGCTGTAAAGGTCTGTGTTATGCATGTTACAGGGCAGCTATGTTTAGTGTGGAGCTAAAGGGGAGGCATGAGGAAAATACCATTGCTGTCATCTTAGTTGGCAGGTCGCTGTCTGGTGAGGGTCTTTTCAGTAAAAATAGCAGTAAATGCGGGAATGTTGGTCCATTCTCTCCTGATAACTTGGGACAGGGCTATTCTAAGAGTGCCTGTTATTATGTTTTTACAGTTGCTTAGTATGTATTTAAGTGCTGGAATTGCAGACAAGAATATCTAAAGATAGGGTGGTGGGTTTGTTTTTTATGTGAGGAGGGTGGAACAAAGTATGTCCATGGATAGATAATGTGGCCATCTAAAAATGGTATTTTTTTTAAGGTGCTAATCCTGTAAAATACTTACGAAGGGAGTTGCCCAGCTCTGTTTAGTGAAGTCAAGCCCATTGGCAAACATTTTGCTTTTCTAAGTTATCTAAATTCACTCTGGGCTCTGAACTAAAAGTAGATCTAGACAGCCCTTCCCTTGCTCATGCAAAGGCTGTGAGCTGTAGCTCACAGTCCTGCTTCTGTGGAAATAAAAAGACTTTACTTTAAAAGTGAGTAATTGTCCACAGCGTAGTACTGAATAGAAAAGGAGTAATTATATTCAGTTATTTAATTTCTATGGAGAGCCTGTACATCTCGTCTGGACAGCACCCTCCTCTCCTCGGGAGACTGGAACCAGCGACGATGCTGCCCTCCGTTCCCTTCCAGACTCCAGGTTCCCCAGGGAAGAGCAGCTGTGGAGCGAGTCCTGCCTGGCTGGTGGGGCTGAGATGGACAGTCCGGGTGTCCAGGTTTCTTCTGCAGTGTTACAACCTGAAGGCTTTTTCAGAGGGTCATAAGGCAGCTAAATATGGATGAATGTTCACGGAGACGCAGAAACATTTATCCATTACAACGGTTCACCCACCAAGTTTACACTTTGGAAACACAAGGTATTCGATTGGAGCAACAAAATGGCTTCAAGGATATTTCTAATATAAGCAAATCAGCATATTTTTGATCACTAGAGAGGTGTTCATTCAGGCAACCAGAATGCATTTAAAATAAATTTGTGCCTTTTCTTAAAGGTTTTTTGCCTGAAGCAGGTATAACTTAAACCATTCCAACCGAAAACTGCTCGTGCTTGATGAAACTGCATGCAAGTGGATACGCAAGTTTTTATGAGGAAAAATATTAGGCAGGTACCATCTTCCCCATCCTCTTGGCCTTTTGGCAATGTGTTTATGAAGGAGAGCTTGACTGTAGGTACATGCTGTTCTTGCTCTGGGAGGAAGTGTGTCTGTCTTTCCTTGGAGTTTGATAAGTTGCTCAGGATGGACGTATTTTTGAAGTGGATTTTTGATGAGTAAGGTATCTTCCTAAGTGGAGCTTTCTCAGAATGGTTGGATTTCTTTCTTGAGGCACAGGCTTTTCTCTCCTCATTTGTCTCAAATTTAGAGCTTCTTTTACCTGACTCTCTTTTCCCCAATAGGAGATAAGGTGAAAACAATGAAAATCCTGAAATAACATGGGCACCAAAGTAAACATGAAGAGCTGATTTTTAAATTCAAAAAACAGACATTTTTTCAGTAAAACAAGAAAAAGAAAGAATTATGAAAAATAGAGGGTTGTTTCACTTCGATTTTCCTCCCCAAATCGTTGATCCTTCTACTAGGGACCTGTTGTTTTTGACCAGCAGTAACAGGTACAAATGCAGCTTCTTGCTCAGTGTGAGCACACTGCCCTTTCCTCAAAGCTGCCTTCCCCTGAATCAGACACAAGACCTGTGCAGGTCTAGAGCTGTCAGCAGGCGTTACACTTGTCCTTACCGACCAAGAGGAGACCTCTAGCTCTCTGCAAGGCGAGAGATACAGACAGCTCATTGGCGAGACTCGTGCTAGCATTGAGTGCTTCGAGCTTGGTCCTTGTTAGAAAAGCCAACTGTCGTGTGTTTTTCTCCCCATTAGCTCAAACAGCTCGTGTGGCTTGTTTCATTTATGTGACCTCTACCCATCCATCCATTTTTCTTTCCAATTAGAGCGAAATTGGACACGGCCCTCCTCCTGCCTACACCCCTATGTCAGGATTAAGTATTTCACCCTCAACCTTCATCCTTAGGTGTTCCGCCTTCCTTCTCTACATGTGTACTGTTTCCAACCCTGTCTTCCTACATACATGGCCCAAAAGGCAGCAGGGACTGCAGGATGCATGGAAGCAATCAAACAGGGACCTGTGAAGTCAGCTGGAGTTCTTGTACAAGCTCTCTGGCCCCACACCTAAACTGTCAGCCAACATTGCCTTCAGAAAGCACGTAGGTAGCGGCTGTGGACGGGTGGCCATTTTTCCATCCTGTCACAGGTTCCGATGTGGGAATTTCTTTGCACATCCTTGTTGACAAGCGAAACGGTAGGTTGAATGAAGGCACTGAGCTGAGGTGCCCGTGTGTAGGTGCTCACTTAATGTGCTTGTTAATGGACTCGTAGTGAGTTTGGGTGTGATGGGTGTTGTGGGGACCCCCAGGACTAAATGGAGACGGGAGGTGCCGATGGGAATCCAGGTAACACAGCACAGGGGAGCGGTGT